AGAACGGAACGGAACAGAACAGAAGGGAACGGAACAGAGAACGGAACAGAATGGAATGGAACACAGAACGGAACAGAACGGAATAGAACAGAACAGAACAGAATAGAACAGAACAGAACGGAACAGAACGGAACAGAATAGAACGGAACAGAACAGAATAGAACAGAACGGAACAAGAACGGAACAGAACAGAACGGAAATGGAACGGAACACAGAACGGAACAGAACAGAACAGAATGGAACAGAACGGAACAGAACAGAACGGAACAGAACGGAACAGAATAGAACGGAACAGAACAGGATAGAACAGAACGGAACAGAGAACGGAACGGAACGGAACAGAATGGAACGGAACACAGAACGGAACAGAACAGAACAGAATGGAACAGAACGGAACAGAACAGAACGGAACAGAACGGAACAAAGAACGGAACAGAGAACAGAACAGAACGGAACGGAACAAAACAGAATAGAGAACAGAACAGAACATAACAGAACAGAACGGAACGGAACAGAACGGAACAGAACAGAACACCAAAATGACACCATTTTTACAGATGAATTCAGAGTCAGGAATCGAACCCCCCCCCCCTCTCTCTCTCTCTTTCTCTCTCTCTCTGTTTGGACGACCTGACCTTTGACCTGACTCAAACCCAGATGTCACACACACACACATGATCTAACCATCCACAGGACAGTCTACAGACTGCACCGCTGCAGACTGGTCACATGACGACCCTTTGGTTTCACTTCGTAACACAGTACCACTGCGAAGTACTGCGTGAAGTACTCTGTCACGGAGCTGTACTTCCCGTGACATTCAGGAGCACGCGGGTCTCATCGACCATGGACGACGACGACGACCATCACATGTCCCGCGTCCCTCGAACGCCCAACGTCCCACAACGTGACAGGCCGGAAACAACACCCCCCCCCTCCCTCCCGCCCGCGCGGCTGCTACTCTACTGTACCTGATCGGCGCCGAACGCAGTGATGTTGGACTTCACCGAGCCCACGCCCAGGGCGACCAGGAAGAGTCCGGCGTAGACCACCAGGCCGCAGTACGGCGCCCGCACGGGGCAGGTCACGGTGCTGGGCGGGGTGCTGTTGGCGCTCAGGCACTCGGCGGGCTGCACGGGGAACGCCGGCTGCTCTCCGCACAGGCCTATCCTGGTGTCCTCGTTGGCGATGAACGGGAAGAACAGCATCCCCGCCATGTAGAAAATGAGGCTGCAGGCGATGGTCCAGAACTTCCCGAAGAAGGCGTCGGCCAGCCAGCCGCCGAACGGCGAGATGAGGTACGTGACGGCCATGAAGATCAGCGGGGCCTGACTGGCCTGCGTGCCCTCCCAGTAGAAGGGACTGCCGTTGAGGAAGAGCACCAGGTTGGAGGTGACGCCGTAGAACGCCACCCGCTCCAGCGACTCCGCCAGCAGGACGGCGGCGCACGCCAGTCGCCGTCCCTGGAAGACGGACGGCGCCGGGGGCGTTCTGTTACCGGACGAGTCCAGGAGGGGGGTGCTCTCGCCGTCATCCTTGCCGGACGCCATGGTCATCCAAACCTC